TGAAATTAAATGAAATTAAAGAATTTTAATAAAAAAAAAAAAACATTTTAACCTGGGTTCCAGAGAACAATGTTTGAAAACCTTCAACATAATAACAATAATATATTTAATAATAACACATTTTATTTATATAGCACCTTTTAGATTCAAAATGCTTCAAATGTCATGATATAAAACCATTTATCAAAACAAATAAATATAAGAAAAGCCTAGAAAACAAAAACAACAAATGCAAAAAATAAAAGCACAAATTATCAGCACTATAAACAAAATCAAAAACAAAGTAAAGTCAAACCACAGGACAAACACAGCCAAGAGCAGGAAAAATAGAAAGTTAGAAAAACGATCATTAATGTTTCAATCTAAAAGCTCAAGAGCACACTTTTGCCATAAAAACACCCATTTCTAAAGTAGCCTGTACATTTCAAAACAACCTGGTTCAAAGCAAGAGACGACGAGTCTAAATATACAATTCTAAAAATTATTTACTCGAGATTCACTTTCATCCTCATTTTCAAGGACTGTACATAGTTGAAGGTTGTACTTCAAAGCAATTTTGATCAGAACATGAAAAACCAGACCCACAATCTCGCAAAAATCCTTCACACATCTGTGCGGCATATCACTCCATCCATACCGTAGGTTTATAGCTGCCAATCACTATCTAGAACACTCCCGTGAATGTTTCCGCCAGCCCATTATATGTGTTTAGCTGGAGTCATGAGTTAACAAAGAGCCTCTTAGCGCCATTAAGGGTGTAATTTAGCTTTGGTGGATGATGCCAAGCTCGATGTGTTGACAGAAGGCTGATTCTTCCACATCTGGCAGATGTACACCCAAGGGAAAAGATGCTGGACAGCCATCACGGGCTGATTCAATTGTGTTTTATTTATGGGATGCTTTTTGGCTCTTCTTTTGTACTTTATTGCCCAAATGGTGAACAAATTCTATTAGGCCAATTAAAACAGGGTTACAGAAGGAGGAACAGATTTCAAGCGCATGTTCAGCGTTGACTGAACTGAAATTACCCAGAGGTCATTATGGGTGGCTCTTTTGACTTAGGCCAGCAAACAACCACCCAATACACCCTAGCAACCAGCAAAAACACCATAGCAGCCTTATAACAGCCCATTAAAACCCACACAGGACACATTAGCGGCTTGAGTTTTTGCATGAACATGCAGTCACAGCTTTTCAGAAAATGCAAAACAAACAAAACTTAAATAAATCATAACAAAATTATGACATTTTAATAACTAATTTATTATAATTTAATACGTTTTTGTAGCATGTTAATTTATTTGGGGGGAAAAAAAAAAAACAAGAAATAAAATACCAATATACAGCTTTTTGTATGGAAAAGTGCTCCTAGATCTTTTTTTTTATAAAATAAAATAAAATAAAATAAACATTTCTCAAAAGAACTTAAAAATAAAACATTATTTTGTTTCTGATTTGGTATGTCTTTTGATTCTGAATAAACTAAACTAAACTAAACTAAACTAAACTAAAATAAAATAAAATAAAATAAAATAAAATAAAATAAAATAAAATAAAATAAAATAAAATAAAATAAAATAAAATAAAATAAAATAAAATAAAATAAAATAAAATAAAATAAAATAAAATAAAATAAAATAAAATAAAATAAAATAAAATAAAATAAAATAAAATAAAATAAAATAAAATAAAATAAAATAAAATAAAATAAAATAAAATAAAATAAAATAAAATAAAATAAAAT